GTGGATATAGAGGCGGATTGGGAGGATTCAGCGGTGGATATAGAGGCGGATTGGGAGGATTCGGCGGTGGATATGGAGGAGGATTTGGTGGTGGATACGGAGGCTACGGCGCTGGTCATGGAGGCTACGCTGGTGGAAGAGCTAATATCAACTTCAATCTGGGACATGGTGGCGGATATGGTGGTGGCTACGGAGGACATGGCCTAGGTCTCGGCTTTGGACGTGGTGTAGGATACGGCGGTGGCTACGGTGGTTATGGAAAATAAATATCCTATTTCCCCAACCACTTAAGAAAAGCAAAGCCATAATATTAAAATATATTATATATTTGTAAACAATATTTTTAAATTTGCATATTTTTAAATATATATATGCTGTTCACGGAAGTCTATAATTCAATCCCTCTGTCAAAATTACGAAAACATATATTTATTATGATGTAGACTTTGGAAGAAAATTATGACACTTCTTAATGTGAAACCAACTGTTGTTATTTTGTTTCTGATGAAATATATTTAAGGTCAATATGCTTTTTCAATTTCTTCACAGGTAGTGATTATGCTTTGATGTTTAGGGATAACTGTTAGTCTTGTGTACACTTCATTAGTGATATTTTTGTGTCCGCTTCAAGAGGTATTGTTTTGTGTACACTTCATGAGGGATAGTTGTGTGTACACTTCACGAGGGATAGTATAAATTACACTTCATGAGGGATGGTTTTGTGTCCGTTTCATCAGGGATAGTTTTGTGTACACTTCATGAGGGATAGTTTTGTGTACACTTCATGAGGGATAGTTTTGTGTACACTTCCTGAGGGATAGTTTTGTGTACACTTCCTGAGGGATAGTTTTGTGTACACTTCCTGAGGGATAGTTTTGTGTACACTTCATGAGGGATAGTTTTATGTACACTTCCTGAGGGATAGTTTTGTGTACACTTCCTGAGGGATAGTTTTGTATACACTTCGTGTGGAATAGTCTTGTGAACACTTCATGAGGGTTAGTATTGTGCACACTTCATGAAGGTTAGTATTGTGTACACTTCATAAGAGTTGTGTATATTTAATGAGAGAGTCCTGAAGAAATGAATGCTAGTAGGCCTCTTGGCCTTACATTAGATTTTGAGAGGCAAGATGGATGATCTTTTGGGCTCCTACTTAAGCATCATGAAAATAATATTAAACCATTGCATATTTTCTCAAATGTTAACATTCAGCAAACAACTTATTATTGAGTATGAAGTTAATAGAAACGTCTTTCTTCTGTCGTATATGTATATAATGAAAATACTGGCTTTTCTGCTATGATAAGAAAACATGTTTACTGACTCTGGTTTTACTTTCTTAATTTTGTACAATCTTTGTTTAAATAAGGTGAATACAATTGGGACTTTAATATATTTTGTTTGGGTCGGACTTGTTCTTTTTTCAGATATCGATTTTTAAGTCTTTTTTTTAAATAATTGTTATTTCTTTTCTTATCACACTTTCTGTTTTTCTATTTCTATTTCTTATCACATCCTTTGACAATTGAAAAATCTTTTTCTCCAACTCGTTAATTACTGTCCCTTATGATATAAAGTACATTGGCCTTCCATCTTACAATATTTACATAATGAGATTATTAAGCAATTATCTACGTTGTATTAGGTTAATTTTCCACAAATCAATTTTAAATAAATTTTTGCTAATTTTAACTCCATTGAGAAATATTTAAAGTATAAGAAGTACCTAACAACGTCAATTTGAAGTTATAGATTTCAATTCACTTTTGACTGTAATGTCTTGATGATATTAAAAGTATATTTCGTAACATTTTATTTACAATATTTGAAAATTCATTAATTATGCCAATAAAACGGATTTTTGTCAATATAATCCAGTTACCACAAAAACTACAACTGATTCCGTTTCAAGTTTATTCCAGCAATGATTCACTCACTTTTTCTGTTCGAATCACAACACTATAAATGCTTCACCCATGAATACACATATTTCCTTCTTAGCAGAACCTAAACACCTAACCTTGCATAATCTAAACCCAACTATACAAAAATTCTAATATATTTTAAAAAGAAACAGATTTTTAATACACGTCATATTTAAACTGACGAATTCTTCTTTGGTTCAGCTGTGGCTTGGACAAACACTGCCTGAAGATGGGGTTGTTACATATATTACCTCCGTACTGTTAACGCAACAAATTTTTAATATAACCAAATCATCTAGCTTAACTTAGGCTTAGCCTCACTCGAAAAAAATTGAGCGCATATGTTCGAACCCTCTTCAAGGCTGCTCCTGTGGATTTGTTCTTTGATATATCGCGTTAATGTCATTTCTCAGTAATATTTATTTATATTTAAGAAAATTCTTATTTTGAATGACCAGAATGTTAAAATTTATGAATGCGTCTTTGGGGTCAACCGATATGTGGAATGGACTTAGTCTGATGACGGATTGAAATGTTTCACTTACATATTCTTAATTCAAAATAAAATCAAAATTGTCCTGTGACTATATATAATACACATGATCTTGGCTTAACCGAATCCGAACTTTGAATATATAATTAGTAATTTATGTTTTCTAAGTTACAATTTGTCTTACACTCAGCAGTTTCGGTGATAACAGCAGGCTGGGCTAGAGTCGCTTAAGGATTGATTGTAGATTTTCTCGATGCAAAAGTCTGTGAACAAAACAGAAGAATCTTACCTAACTCAACTTTGGCCTATGAGTATAACATTCACACATAATAATATTAAATTCCTGAACTAATTTCGGTTTTTAAATAAAGTCGTGAAAGAAATTTTAACAAATACGCATTATAAAATCTGGTGGATTCAAAGGCCAATGTCGAGGATGGGTTGTCATGATATTTTGATAATTACCCAAACTCAATGTCCTCACTAACAGACACAAACGTGGGATGCCGCTATTTTTTTTCTGTTTGGAAAAAAAACGAATAATAATTATTGTTGTATAGAATGATTTGCATAGTTTGGTCAAGATTAGGTGCTTGGACCTCATGGCAATAATGGGTATTTTAACAAATCCTATGACATTGGTAGTCACGCACCAGCCGTTCTCAAACATATATTCATAAACCATTTTTATGATTTTTATAATATGAAATTTATATTATTTATATTTATATTAATATATCAAAGATTTTTTAAACCTTTATATTTTCTCATATACAAAATTATATATTCAATATTTTCGAGTATTGCTAAGCATAAGTTAGGTTAGATAATTGGTTCTATTAAGAATTATTCGTGTTAACAGTATGAGGGTAATGCTTGTAGCAACCTATATTAAGGCTGTGTTTGTCCAAGCGGCAGGAGAACGAAAGAAGAATTCGTCAATTTAAATTTGAAGTGTATTTAAGATCTGTTTATTTATTAACATATATTAACTCAAGACTACTGATAACATTGCATAAGAATTTAAGAGGTAAAATAGTTGTTCCGGATAATTTTCATTTATCTAAGTTTAGTTATTTGATGTAACATCTTAGTAAGAACTGAATTGCATATGTGCAGATTTTTTCTGGGCGTTTAGTTTTATTTATGTAGTTGTTTATTCACTTAAAGAAACACAAATTAACATACCAAACACAAAACGGTCATTTTCTTTAATTCGTTGTTATTAATATAATAATTTTCCCGAGAAATAAAGAGTGTTCCAGAATTATCTATTTCTATGAAACTGGATGAAAAAAAACAACTCTTGTTTCTTGACGGTTATCTTGTTTATTGCGTGTTATATATATATGAAAAATTATAAATTATTTCATCTGTTTTTCAGTTCACTAATCCAAATAATGACATCTAAAAAATGCACCTTTGTTGTGACTTCCCCTATCAAAGGATTTCGATGTAATGAAATGAAAGGTTTACAAGGAAATCTCATAGAATCGGTCGTATATATAAAGCGATTCATGTACTTGTGAACACATTAAAAAGAACTGGATCTGTACAAAATGTTTTCGGAATGTTTAGGTTATATTCGAAATATGCTGGGAAACAGAAAGAGCATTTCCTGAATTTCTCAATATAGATGTGGCTTGATATTTATAAATCTACCTGTTTTTGTATCAAAACTAGGTAATACCTTGGAATTATGAAGGTTTTTAATAGGTTAGAGTGATTTCATTTGAATTTATAACTAATTCTGGGACACCTTGAAAGTGTAAGTATAACATTACAAAAGATATTACAAATATTATAAATAATTGGTTGAAAAGCAGATATTTAAAATAAGTTTTTCTAATAATAAACAAGTACAGTAATTTGTATCATATTTTCGTAAATAAAATCAAAGGAAACTAACTTCTTCCCACAAATATAACCTTTAAACTCAACTGAATCCCTAACATTAATTAAGCATTCGACTGAAACTTATTATATAATGTTGTATAATATTGAATTCTAAACCAAAAATTTTCTAATCGACTTTGTAGACAAAGGCGGAGTACCAAGGTTACCCGGCGGGTGTGAACGTATATAAGGGAGGAACTGTGTAGCAGAGATCAGTCACCTCCCTGACACCAGCCGCTGTGTTGCTCTCGTTCCCCACAATGGTCAGTTGCACACGTCTGGTACTAGTACAGAAAGATGCCATGTTCAAAGCTAGAAACAACAGAATGAGGGCCATAGATAGAGATATAAAAGTGCCGAGAATAACTTCTACAGTTAAGCTGTAAAAAGATGCTCTGGGTTAAGCTAGGAAGCGCTGAATCTATGTAAAAATGAGTCACAAAAATTTGGAGAAGACTGTCAAATTTTTAGTTATAATGACGGAGTTACGATATCAGATTAGTTCCATATTGACTAAATGACGAAGCTCTTCATACTTGTACTTATGTTGGAATTTTTATATATGTCATTATTTTTATCATTAGCAATAATATTTGTACTAGAATTATGATTCTTATCAATATAATTGATATAGTCATTAATTATTCATTGTTATGTTCTTTCAGAATTTCGTATATGTCTTCATGGGGTTGGCAGCCCTGGTTGCCTCTGCAATGGCTGCCCCTGGAGGCATTGGTTATGGCGGTGGATATAGAGGCGGATTGGGAGGATTCAGCGGTGGATATAGAGGCGGATTGGGAGGATTCGGCGGTGGATATGGAGGAGGATTTGGTGGTGGATACGGAGGCTACGGCGCTGGTTATGGAGGCTACGCTGGTGGAAGAGCTAATATCAACTTCAATCTGGGACATGGTGGCGGATATGGTGGTGGCTACGGAGGACATGGCCTAGGTCTCGGCTTTGGACGTGGTGTAGGATACGGCGGTGGCTACGGTGGTTATGGAAAATAAATATCCTATTTCCCCAACCACTTAAGAAAAGCAAAGCCATAATATTAAAATATATTATATATTTGTAAACAATATTTTTAAATTTGCAAATTTTTAAATATATATATGCTGTTCACGGAAGTCTATAATTCAGTCCCTCTGTCAAAATTACGAAAACATATATTTCTTATGATGCAGACTTTGGAAGAAAATTATGACACTTCTTAATGTGAAACCAACTGTTGTTATTTTGTTTCTGATGAAATATATTTATGGTCAATATGCTTTTTCAATTTCTTAACAGGTAGTGATTATGCTTTGATGTTTAGGGATAACTGTTAGTCTTGTGTACACTTCATTAGTGATATTTTTGTGTCCGCTTCAAGAGGTATTGTTTTGTGTACACTTCATGAGGGATAGTTGTGTGTACACTTCATGAGAGATAGTATTAATTACACTTCAAGAGGGATGGTTTTGTGTCCGTTTCATGGGGGATAGTTTTGTGTGCACTTCATGAGAGATAGTTTTGTGTAAACGTCATGAGGGATAGCTTTGTGTACACTTCATGAGGATTAGTATTGTGCACACTTCATGAGGGTTAGTATTGTGTACACTTTATGAGAGTTGTGTATATTTAATGAGAGAGTCCTGAAGAAATGAATACTAGTGGGCCTCTTGGCCTTATATTAGGTTTTGAGAGGCAAGATGGATGATCTTTTGGGCTCCTACTTAAGTATCATGAAAATAATATTAAACCATTACATATTTTCTCAAATGTAAACATTCAGCAAACAACTTATTACTGAGAATAAAGTTAATAGAAACGTTTTTCTTCTGTCGTATATGTATAAAATGAAATACTGGCTTCACTGCTATGATAATAAACATGTTTTCTGACTCTGGTTTTATTTTCTTAATTTTGTACAATTTTTGTTTAAATAAGGAGAATACAATTGGGACTTTAATATATTTTGTTTGGGTCGGACTTGTTCTTCTTTCAGATATCGTTTTTTAAGTCTTTTTTTTTTAAACAATTGTTATTTCTTTTCTTATCACACTTTCTATTTTTCTATTTCTATTTCTTATCATATCCTCTGACAATTGAAAAATCTTTTTCTCCAACTCGTTAATTAATGTCCCTTATGATATAAAGTACATTGGCCTTCCATCTTACAATATTTACATAATGAGATTAGGAAGCAATTATCTACGTTGTCTTAGGTTAATTTTCCACAAATTATTTTAAATAAATTTTTGAGAATTTTAACTCTATTGAGAAATATTTAAAATATAAGAAGTACCTACCAACGTCGATTTGAAGTTATATAGATTTCACTTAACTTCTGATTGTAATGTCTTGATAATATTAAAATACATTTCGAAACATTTTATTTACAATATATGAAAATTCATTAATTTTGGCAATAAAACGGATTTTTGTCTATATAATCCACTTATCACAAAAACCACAACTGATTCCGTTTGAAGTTTATTCGAGCAATGATTCACTCACTTCCTCTGTTCGAATCACAACACTGTAAATGCTTCACCCATGAATACACATATACTTCTCAGCAGAACCTAAACATCTATTCTTGCTTAATCTAAGCCCAACTATACAAAAATTCCAATATAAGAAAAAGAAAAATATTTTGAATATACATCACATTTAAACTGACGAATTCTTCTTTGGTTCAGCTGCCGCTTGGACAAACACAGCCTGAAGATGGGTTGCTACATTCTTTATCTTCGTACTGTTAACATAAGTAATTCTTAATAGAACCAAATCATCTATCCTAACTTAGGCTTACCAACACCCGAAAAAATCTCTGCGCATACGTTCGAACCCTCATCAAGGCTCCTCCTGTGAATTTGTTCTTTGGCATATCACGTTAATGTCATTTCTCAGTAATGTTAATATATATTTAAGAAAATTCTTATTTTGAATAAGCAGAATGTTCAATCAAGCTTGGAGTTGCTTTCTTAGTATGATTTCTGGAATCTTAAGAGGAATACAAGCTGGATCACGATACATTGTTCACTATCATCCCGATTGTTTCATCCATAGGTACGTTGGTAAACAGCGACTCTACATCCAACGAGGCTCTTATCCTCGTGGCCCGTACTCCCCGCAGTAAGTCAACGAATTCCTTTGGATAATTCAGCCTATAAGCACAAGGTACATAAAGAATCAGCAAGCAGTTGAGTCGCTTAGCCGGTCTGTATGTTGTAGTGGGTATCTGGCTGATGATTGGCCAAACTGGGTTTCCAGGCTTGTGGGTCTTGATATTCCCATACGCACAACCAGGGTTGTATTCCCCCAATAACCTTTGGCAGGTGGAGTTCGGATTTCTTGGCGTTCACAGTTTCGAGATCTGGCTTGTACTCCTCTTGACTTTCTTAGTATGTTTTCTGGTATGTCAAGAGGCGTTCAAGCCGGATCTTTGAAACTGTGAACGCCAAGAAATCCGGACTCCACCTGCCAAAGGTTATTGGGGAATACAAACCTGGTTATGCGTATGGGAATGCCAAGACCCACAAGTCTGGAAACCCACGTTTGCTACATTAGCTACGGCAAACATCCAAAAAACTTTGTGTACAGTTTTGTGTACACATCTCATGATGTGTACTCAAAACTGTCTCTCGTGATGTGTACTCAAAACTATCCCTCACGAAGTGTACACAAAACTATCCCTCATGAAGCGGACACAAAACTGACCCCTAATGTAGTGTACACAAAGCTATCACAGTTATCCATGAGCATCATAGCACAACCAGTGAAGCAATTGAAAAAGACTATTGACCCTAATTATATTTCATCAGAAACAAAATAACAACAGTTGGTTTCACATTAAGAAGTGTCATAATTTTCTTCGAAAGCCTGCATCATAAGAAATATATGTTTTCGTAATTTTGACGAAGGTATTGAATTATAGACTTCCGTGAATAGCATATTTATATTTAAAATATGCAAATTTAAAAATAATGTTAACAAATATATAATATATTTTAATATTTTGGGCTTTACTTTTCTTTAGTGGTTGGGGAAATAGAATATTTATTTTCCATAGCCACCGCCGTATCCTACACCACGTCCAAAGCCTAGACCTAGGCCATACCCTCCGTAGCCACCACCATATCCGCCACCATGTCCCAGATTGAAGTTGATGGAAGCTCTTCCACCAGCGTAGCCACCACCATATCCACCACCGTAGCCTCCATATCCAGCGCCGTAGCCTCCGTATCCACCACCAAATCCTCCTCCATATCCACCGCCGAATCCTCCCAATCCGCCTCTATATCCACCGCCATAACCAATGCCTCCGGGGGCCGCCATAGCAGAGGCAACCAGGGCTGCCAACCCGATGAAGAACAGTACGTATTTCTGCAAGAACATAACAATTAATAATTAATAGATATATAAATTATATTGATAATAACCACAATTAGAGTACAAATATTATTGTGTTATTGCTAATGACAAAAATACTAACATATATAATAATTCCAACATAAGTACATATGTGAAGAGTGTCGTCATACAGTCAATACGGGACTAATCTGATATCGCAACATCGTCATGATAACTAAAAATTTGGCAGTCTTCCCGATATTGATGTGACTCATTTTTAATTAGATTCGGCACTTCCTAGCCTAACCCAGAGCATCTTTTTACAGCTGAACATCTGTAGAAGTTATTCTCGTAGATACTGTTAGAAGAAGTTACATCTGTAGAAGTTATTCTCGACAGCTTTGTCTAAATATACGGCCCTCGTTCTGCTGTTCCCAGCTTTGAACATTGCATGTTTCCCTACTAGTACCAGACGTGTGCAACTGACCATTGTGTGGAGCGAGAGCAACACAGCGGCTGGTGTCAGGGAGGTGACTGATCTCTGCTACACAGTTCCTCCCTTATATACGGACACACCCGCCGGGTAACCTTGGTACTCCGCCTTTGTCTACATAGTCGATTAGAAAAATTTTGGTTTAGAGTTCAATATTATGCAACATTTAATAATTTGTTTCAGTAGAATGCTTAATTAATGTTTGAGATTAAATTTAATTTAAAGGTATATTTGTGGCAAGAAGTTAGTTTCCCTTGATTATATATATATATATATATATATATATATATATATATATATATATATATATATATATATATATATATATATATATATATATATATATATATATATATATATATATATATATATATATATATATATATATATATGATACAATTAATTGTTTATTATTGAAAAAATTATTTTCAAATAAATTAAATTTAAATAAATTTAAATATTTATTTATTTCAGTAGAATTAGTTATAAATATAAATGAAATCACACTGACCTATTAAAAACCTACATAATTCCTTGGTATTACCTAATTTTGATAAAAGCAAGTAGATTTATAAATCTCAAGTAAACTCTTTCGTGAGAACATTCAAAATACACTCCATGTGTATCCCCGCATATTTCGGATCGAACCTTTACGATCCGAAACACATTTTGTATGGTTCTAGTTCTTTTAAATGTGTTCACATGTTTACTAATCGCTTTGTCTTTTGGAGCGATTCCTTGATATTTCCTTGTGAGTCTTTTATTTCAACAAATCGCAGTCCTTTGATAGGGGATGTCACAACAAAGGTGCGTTTCTGTGAAGTAATTGTTAGGATTGGGGATCTGAAAAACGGATGAAATAATTTAGATATTTTCATATATATAACACTTATTAAACAAGATAACCGTAAAAAACAAGAGTTTTTTTATTTCGTCCGGTTTCAGAGAAATAGCTAACTCTTGAAAATCCTTTATTTCTCGAGAACAATATTATATTAATCGCAACGAAGTAAAGAAAATTACAGTTTTTGTGTTTCGTTTATATGTTAATTTGTGTTTCTTTAATCGAATAAACAACAATATAAATAAAACTAAAAGTTCAGAAAAAATCTGCAACAATGAAATTCCTTACTTCCTAATACGTTACAAGAAATAACTATACCGAGATATAAACAAATAATTCTGAACAGCTATTTTACCTATTAAATTCTATTACAATGTTATCAGTAGAGTCAGGTACATCTTGGGTACGACTCAGTCAAAGAGAAGTGTATCAATACGAGAAGAATACTTCTCTATCAGTACAAAACACAATCTGAAAATTACTAATATTGCTTAGTTCGTCTCCTAAGAATAACTCATAGAAAAATTACTGATTCTATCTGTGGCTGCCAAATTTATTTAATTAAAATATTAAGACCATCCATCTTGCTTTTCATAGGTCATGATTTGGAACCTGAGATGTATAACTAACAACTATGCATACATACAGATAATTGCATAGAGATTAAATAAATAAGTATAGGACAGAATGTATGTTTATCTATACATAGTTGGAGGCCAGATACTTGTGTCGACTAGCATCACCCAACGTTTCAAGGGGTATGATCAAACATTCCTATGTTTGTTTACCTAGTGTAGACTGCAGTGTGGAAGCCTCTGTTCCTTTTCCGTGACTGTTACAGCTAGAAAAAAACATTTTTATGCAGGTACCTGATGTCAGACGTCTGCAGCAGCTGAAGGAGTCATTCGAGCAGAATTCTGTGTTGAGTTTCACTTACGAGATGGAGAATGATGGGAAGCTGCCTTTTCTAGATGTAACAGTCACGGAAAGGAACGGAGGCTTCCACACTGCAGTCTACATTAAGTAAACAAACATAGGAATGTCCCTCAATGCCAAGAAAGACTGCCCAGACCGGTACAAGAGGAGTGTTGCCAACGCTTATGTCGACCGTGCTCTCAGCCACGGCTCAGGATGGAAGCAAGTCGATGAAGAACTCTGTAGGGTAAGGTAGGTCCTAGTCAACAACAGCTTCTCTACTGGTTTTTTTGAAGACATCAAAAAAAAAGAAAGATGAATGCCATGCTACCTCCGAAGAGTCAACTAACACAACTCTTATACCCCTATTAGATTGTTTTACAGAATTTCTTTTCGACGGCTCATAAAACAAAGGAAAGCGTCCTGGAAAGACATTATTGATAGAAACGATATCCCTACTGACAAAAATCAGAAAATGCAATTGACAATTTACTGCAAAAAAAAAAAAAAAATGGCCAACCTTCTCACGAAAAACTCCCCAAACACCAAACAGAACGCCTTGAAGGAAACCAATGTCGTCTGTGCCTTCACGTGCCCACTTGGGAACTGTAAGCCCCAAAGAACTTTATATATAGGCAAGAAATCAACGTCTCTTTCTAGTCAGTTAACTATGCACAAACAATAGGGCTCCATCAAGGAACATATAATCTCTTCTCACAACCAGACCATCACCAGAGAAATCTTAACAAGCAACACAGAAATCATCAATAAATACAGCGATAGCAGGAGACTCGACATCAGCGAGGCACTACACATCAAAAAGTCAACACCAGCAATCAACAGCCAATTAATGCACAACTATATTCTACCCACTTCAAGACTTCGAACCAATATGGAAGCAGCAAGAGGAAGAATGGGCCAATAGGCCTTCTGCACTTACTTCCATTCTTATGTTCTCATACCCATTGTTCCGTGTTCTGTCTTCTGTTTCACCTCACCCAAAACTTGTGTTCAATATCACTTCACCCAAAAGGAATATGAGTATGAATGTATTTTGTGTGTAAACTAAGTCTATGAAAATGTAATAAGGAATTACGAAATGCGTTCAGGCGTCAGACCAGGAATAAAAAGAATGAATTTTGGAGAGTTAGTTTATCAATTACCCTCGACAGTGATGAACGTAAGAAATACTGAGAAGATTCATTTTAGAATTATTAATCTTACCCTTTCGGTCATATTCAGCAACATATGTTTACAAGATAGACTGCTGCCAAAATATATATATATATATATATATATATATATATATATATATATATATATATATATATATATATATATATATATATATATATATATATATATATATATATATATATATATATATATATATATAGTACATATATATATATATATATATATATATATATATATATATATATATATATATATATATATATATATATATATATATATATATATATATATATATATATATATATATATATATAGTCCCAATAGCATTCTCCTTATTTAAACAGATTGTACACAATTAAAACCCGGGTCAGTAAATATGTTTATTATTATAGCAAAAACCAGCATTTTTAATTATATACAAATACGACTGAAAAAAGACGCTTCTATTAACTTCATTCTTAATAATAAGTTGTTAGGTGGATGTTTACATTTGTGAAAATATGTAATGGTTTAATAATTTTTTCATAATACTTAAGTGGGAGCACAAAAGATCATCTACCTTGCCTCTCAAAATCTAATGTAAGGCCATGAGGCCCACTAGCATTCGTTTCTTCAGTACTCTCTAATTAAATATACAAAACTCTCATGAAGTGTACACACAACTCTCTCTCATGATGTGTACTCAAAACTATCCCTCACGAAGTGTACACAAAACTATCCCTCATTAAGCGGGCACAAAACTGACCCTTAATGTAGTGTACACAAGGCTATCATAGTTATCCATGAGCATCACAGCACATCCAGTGAAGCAATTGAAAATGCATATTGACCCTAATTATATTTCATCAGAAACAAAATAACAACAGTTGGTTTCACATTAAGAAGTGTCATAATTTTCTTCTAAAGTCTACATCATAAGAAATATATGTTTCCGTAATTTTGACGAAGGTATTGAATTATAGACTTCCGTGAATAGCATATTTATATTTAAAATATGCAAATTTAAAAATAATGTTAACAAATATATAATATATTTTAATATTTTGGGCTTTACTTTCTTTAGTGGTTGGGGAAATAGAATATTTATTTTCCATAGCCACCGCCGTATCCTACACCACGTCCAAAGCCCAGACCTAGGCCATGTCCTCCGTAGCCACCACCATATCCGCCACCATGTCCCAGATTGAAGTTGATGGAAGCTCTTCCACCAGCGTAGCCACCACCATATCCACCACCGTAGCCTCCATATCCAGCGCCGTAGCCTCCGTATCCACCACCAAATCCTCCTCCATATCCACCGCCGAATCCTCCCAATCCGCCTCTATATCCACCGCCATAACCAATGCCTCCGGGGGCAGCCATAGCAGAGGCAACCAGGGCTGCCAACCCTATGAAGAACAGTACGTATTTCTGCAAGAACAAAACAATGAATAATTAATAGATATATCAATTAAATTGATAATTACCACAATTAGAGTACAAATATTATTGTGCTATTGCTAATGACAAAAATACTAACATATATAATAATTCCAACATAAGTACATATGTGAAGAGTGTCGTCATACAGTCAATACGGGACTAATCTGATATTGCAACATCGTCATTATAACTAAAAATTTGACAGTCTTCCCGATATTGATGTGACTTTTTTTTAATTAGATTCGGCACTTCCTAGCCTAACCCAGAGCATCTTTTTACAGCTGAACAGCTGTAGAAGTTATTCTCGAAGTTACAGTTAGAAGAAGTTACATCTGTAGAAGTTATTCTCGACAGCTTTGTCTAAATATACGGCCCTCGTTCTGCTGTTCCCAGCTTTGAACATGGCATCTTTCTGTACTAGTACCAGACGTGTGCAACTGACCATTGTGGGGAGCGAGAGCAACACAGCGGCTGGTGTCAGGGAGGTGACTGATCTCTGCTACACAGTTCCTCCCTTATATACGGACACACCCGCCGGGTAACCTTGGTATTCCACCTTTGTCTACATAGTCGATTAGAAAAATTTTGGTTTAGAGTTCAATATTATACTACATTTAATAATTTGTTTCAGTAGAATTCTTATTAATGTTTGAGATTAAATTTAATTTAAAGGTTATATTTGTGGCAAGAAGTTAGTTTCCCTTGATATATATATATATTATATATATTATTATATTATATATTATATATATATATATATATATATATATATATATATATATATATATATACATATATATATATATATATATATATATATATATATATATATATATATATATATATATATACATATATATATATATATATATATATATATATATATATATATATATATATATATATATATATATATATATATATATATATATATATATATATGCAATTGACGATCACAAAACACTGATCATTTTATGCGGAAAATCCACAGAGAAATATGAAATGAGGTGAACGTTTCGGCTTTGTTAAAGCCTTTGTCAACACCAGACTGACCAAACAACAGACAACAGACTTTGTCAACACCAACTGGTCAGTCTGGTGTTGACAAAGGCTTTAACAAAGCCGAAACGTTCACCTCATTTCATATTTCTCTGTGGATTTTCCGCATATATATATATATATGTCGTACCTAGTAGCCAGAATGCACTTTTCAGCCTAATATGCAAGGCCCGATTTGCCTAATAAGCCAAGTTTTCATGAATTAATTGTTTCTCGACTACCTAACCTACCTAACCTAACCTAACCTAACTTTTTCGGCTACCTAACCTAACCTAACCTATAAAGATAGGTTAGGTTAGGTTAGGTAGGGTTGGTTAGGTTCGGTCATATATCCACGTTCATTTTAACTCCAATAAAAAAAAATTGACCTCATACATAATGAAATGGGTAGCTTTTATCATTTCATAAGGAAAAAATTAGAGAAAATATAATAATTCAGGAAAACTTGGCTTATTAGGCAAATCGGGCCTTGCATAGTATGCCGAGAAGTGCGTTCTGGCTACTAGGTACGACATATATATATATATATATATATATATATATAATATATATATATATATATATATATATATATATATATATATATATATATGATACAATTAATTGTTTATTATTGATAAAAAATTATTTTCAAACAAATTAAATATTAAATAAATTTAAATATTTATTTATTTCGTGGTAGAATTAGTTATAAATATAAATGAAATCATACTAATCTATTAAAAACCTACATAATTCCTTGGTATTACCTAATTTTGATAAAAGCAAGTAGATTTATAAATCTCAAGTCAAATCTTTCGTGAGAACTTTCAAAATGTGTTCCATGTGTATCCCCGCATATTTCGGATCAAACCTTTCTGTCCCGAAACACATTTTGTATGGATCCAATTCTTTCAAATGTGTTAACATGTTTACTAATCTCTTTGTCTTTTGAAGCGATTCCGTGAGATTTCCTTGTAAATCTTTTTATATCAACAAATCGCAATCCTTTGATACGGGATGTCACAACAAAGATGCATTTCTATGAAGTCATTGTTTGGATTGGGGATCTGAAAAACAGATGAAGTAATTTAGAATTTTTCATTTACATAACACTTATTAATTTAAACAAGATAACCATAAAAAACAAGAGTTGTTTTTTAAGTTCGTCCGGTTTCAGAGAAATAGCTAATTCTTGAACTCTTTATATCTCGAGAACATTATTATATTAATCGCAACGAATTAAAGAAAATTACAGTTTTTGTGTTTTGTTTATTGTTAATTTGTGTATCTTTAATCGAATAAACAACTATATAAATATAACTAATAGTTAAGAAAAAATCTGCACATATGAAATTCATTTCTTCCTAATACGTTACAAGAAATAACTATACACAGATATATAAAAATAAATCTGAACAGCTATTTTACCTCTTAAATTCTATTTCAATGTTATCAGTAGATTCAGGTACATCTTGGGTACGACTCAGTCAAAGAGAAGTGTATCAACACGAGAAGAATACCTCTCTATCAGTACAAAACACAATCTGAAAATTACTAATATTACTCAGTTCGACTCCAAAGAATATCTCATTGAAAAATTACTGATTGTATCTGTGTCTGCCAAATTTATTTAATTAAAATATTTAGACCATCCATCATGCTTTTGATACGTCATGATTTGGAACCTGAGATGTATAACTAACAACTATGCATACATACAGATAATTACATAGAGATTAAATCAATAAGTATAAGACAGAATGTATGTTTATCTGTACATAGTTGGAGGCCAGATACTTGTGTCGACTAGCATCACCCAACGTTTCAAGGGGTATGATCAAACATTAATATGTTTGTTTCCCTAGTGTAGACTGCAGTGTGGAAGCCTCCGTTCCTTTCCATGACTGTTACTGCTAGAAAAAAAACATTTTTATGCAGGTACCTGATGTCAGACGTCTGCAGCAGCTGAAGGAGGCATTCGAGCAGAATTCTGTGTTGAGTTTCACGTACGAGATGGAGAATGATGGAAAGCTGCTTTTTCTAGATGTAACAATCACGGAATGGAACAATTTCCACACTGCAGTCTACATTAAATAAACAAACATAGGAATGTGCCTCAATGCAAATAGTGACTGCCCACACTATTACATGAGAAGTGTTGTCAACGCTTACGTCGACCGAGCTCTCAGCCACAGCTCAGGATGGAAGCAAGTCAATGAAGAACTCTGTAGGGTAAGGTAGGTCCTAGTCAACAACGGCTTCTCTAACGGTTCTGTTGAAGACGTCAAAAAAAAAGAAAAGTGAAATGCCATGCAACTTCCAAAGAGTCAACTAACACAACTCTTATACCCCTATTAGACTGTTTTACAGAATTTCTTTTCGACGGCTCATAAAACGGAGGAAAGGGTCCTGGAGAGACATTATTGATAGAAAAGTTATCCCTATTGACAAAAATCAGAAAATAAAATTGACAATTTACTACAAAAAAAAAGCCAACCTTCTCATGAAAAACTCCCCCAGACACCAAACAGAACGACTTGAAGGAAACCAATGTCGTCTGTGCCTTCAAGTGCCCGCTTGGGGACTGTAAGCGCCAAAAACTCGATATATAGGCAAGACAACAACGTCTCTTTCTAGGCGTTTAACTATGCACAAACAATAGGGCTCCATCAAGGAACATATAATGTCTTCTCACAACCAGACCATCACCAGAGAAATCTTAACAAGCAACACTGAAATCATCAATAAATACAGCGATAGCAGGAGACTCGACATCAGCGAGGCACTACACATTAAAAGGTCAACACCAGCAATCAACAGCCAACTAATGCGCAACTATATTCTACCCACTTCAAGACTCCGAACCAATATGGAAGCAGCAAGAGGAAGTATGGGCCAATAGGCCTTCTGCAGTTACTTCCATTCTTATGTTCTCATACCCATTGTTTTGTGTTCTGTCTTCTGTTCACCTCACCCAAAACTTTTCTTCCATATCACCTCACCCAAAACGAGTATAGGTATGACTGTATTTTGTGTGTAAACTGAGTCTTTGAGAATGTAATTAGGAATTACGAAACCCGTTCAGGCGTCAGACTAGGAATAAAAAGAATGAATTTTTGAGAGTTACTTTATAAATTACCGTCGACAGTGAAGAAGAACGTAAGAAATATTGAGAAGATTCATTTTAGAATTATTAATCTTACCCTTTCGGTCATATTCAACAACATATGTTTACAATAAAGACGGCTACCAAAATATTCTTATATATATATATATATATATAATATATATATATATATAGAAGAGAGAGAGAGAGAGAGAGAGAGAGGAGAGAGAGAGAGAGAGAGAGAGAGAGAGAGAGAGAGAGAGAGAGAGAGAGAGAGAGAGAGAGAGAGGGAGAGAGAGAGTTAGAGAGAGAGAGAGAGGAGAGAGAGAGAGAGAGAGAGAGAGAGAGAGAGAGAGAGAGAGAGAGAGAGAGAGAGAGAGAGAGAGAGAGAGAGAGAGAGAGAGAGAGAGAGAGAGAGAGAGAGAGAGAGAGAGAGAGAGAGAGAGAGAGAGAGAGAGAGAGAGAGAGAGAGAGAGAGAGAGAGAGAGAGAGAGAAAGAGAGCGAGAGAGAGAGAGAGAGAGAGAGAGAGAGAGGAGAAGAGAGAGAGAGAGAGAGAGAGAGAGAAGATAATGTCTATTTGATTCATTAAGTTAGGATGAAGGCGAGATGCTTTGAAGTAGCCTGTTTAAACCATACAAGATTAATTATTATTTTATTGAGAGAGTCTTGGAGACTTGGGTCGTCCCAGTGCCCAGATGAAGAGGAGCACGATACAATTAAATAGCAAGAAATTTAAGTAAATGTTCCGGAGATCAATGAATATTGATGCGTATTTGCAATATGAACCAAATCTGATTTGATTTTTTAAGTACTGGCGGGTAGTGCCAAAATTGTTGTGAGGGTCTAGATGTGACTCTGAGATGCTGTTCTCATTTGAATTCTGGCGACACCGACCAGCCTATGTTCATCCCCTACCCTAGACAATTTGCTATGCTAATTTGAGGGAGGGTAGTTTCAAGCGTCTGTCATTGACCTACAAATTATTTTTATCAAACTCCTCATCCTAATTATGGCTAGTTCCACATCCTAATTATTATAACTAGTTCAACATCATGATGATTATTATGAGGAGTTTCACACCTTGATTAATCTAATTAGTTCCAAATTTTCTTTATTTTAGCTAATTGCCCATCTTCATTTATACTTCTAGTTGACATCTTGATTAATATGTTTAATTTTATGTCTTCATTATTCCATGTTTTCACGTTTGGTTTTCTTCATATTTCTGTCTAGTGGATTAATTTTTTAGTTCATTTAATTAAAGGATGAGTTACAAAACCTTCAGCGAATGGGAAATTTTTAGTTTTATTTTAAATTATTAACATATCTATGACTTATTCATATGTTATTTTATTTAATTCTCTGTAAAATTGATGGAACGAATTATTACAACTATTTTCCATAACCACCATAGCCACCGCCGTATCCAACACCATTTCCAAAGCCGAGACCTAGACCATGTCCTCCGTAGCCACCACCATATCCGCCACCATGTCCCAGATTGAAGTTGATGGAAGCTCTTCCACCAGCGTAGCCACCACCATATCCACCACCGTAGCCTCCATATCCAGCGCCGTAGCCTCCGTATCCACCACCAAATCCTCCTCCATATCCACCGCCGAATCCTCCCAATCCGCCTCTATATCCACCGCCATAACCAATGCCTCCGGGGGCCGCCATAGCAGAGGCAACCAGGGCTGCCAACCCCATGAAGAACAGTACGTATTTCTGCAGGAACATAACAATGAATAATTAATAGATATATAAATTATATTGATAATAACCACAATTAGAGTACAAATATTATTGTGTTATTGCTAATGACAAAAATACTAACATATATAATAATTCCAACATAAGTACATATGTGAAGAGTGACGTCATACAGTCAATACGGGACTAATCTGATATCGCAACATCGTCATGATAACTAAAAATTTGGCAGTCTTCCCGATATTGATGTGACTCCTTTTTAATTAGATTCGGCACTTCCTAGCCTAACCCAGAGCATCTTTTTACAGCTGAACAGCTGTAGAAGTTATTCTCGTAGGTACTGTTAGAAGAAGTTACATCTGTAGAAGTTATTCTCGACAGCTTTGTCTAAATATACGGCCCTCGTTCTGCTGTTCCCAGCTTTGAACATTGCATGTTTCCCTACTAGTACCAGACGTGTGCAACTGACCATTGTGGGGAGCGAGAGCAACACAGCGGCTGGTGTCAGGGAGGTGACTGATCTCTGCTACACAGTTCCTCCCTTATATACGTTCTCACCCGCCGGGTAACCTTGGTACTCCCCCATTGTCTACATAGTCGATTAGAAAAATTTTGGTTTAGAGTTCAATATTATGCAACATTTAATAGTTTGTTTCAGTAGAATTCTTAATTAATGTTTCGGATTAAATTTAGTTTAAAGGTTATATTTGTGGCAAGAAGTTAGTTTCCCTTGATTATATATATGAAAATATGATATAATTAATTGTGTATTATTGATAAACTTATTTTAAATGTCTACTTTTCTGTCAATTATTTATAATATTTGAAATAACTTTTTGTAATGTTATACTTACACTTTCGTGGTGCCCCAGAATTAGTTATAAATATAAATGAAATCATACTACCTATTAAAAACCTACATAATTCCATGGTATTACCTAATTTTGATAAAAACAACAAGATTTATAAATCTCAAATCAAATCTTTATTGAGAACTTTCAAAATGTGTTCCATGTGTATCCCCGCATATTTTGGATCAAACCTTTATGTCCCGAAACACATTTTGTATGGATCCAATTCTTTTAAATGTGTTCACATGTTTACTAATCTCTTTGTCTTTTTGAGCGATTCCGTGAGATTTCCTTGTGAGTCTTTTATATCAACAAATCGCAATCCTTTGATACGGGATGTCACAACAAAGATGCATTTCTATGAAGTCATTGTTTGGATTGGGGATCTGAAAAACAGATGAAGTAATTTAGAATTTTTCATTTACATAACACTTATTAATTTAAACAAGATAACCATAAAAAACAAGAGTTGTTTTTTAAGTTCGTCCGGTTTCAGAGAAATAGCTAATTCTTGAACTCTTTATATCTCGAGAACATTATTATATTAATCGCAACGAATTAAAGAAAATTACAGTTTTTGTGTTTTGTTTTTGTTAATTTGTGAATCTTTAATCGAATAAACAACTATATAAATATAACTAATAGTTAAGAAAAAATCTGCACATATGAAATTCATTTCTTCCTAATACGTTACAAGAAATAACTATACTCAGATAAACAAAAATAAATCTGAACAGCTATTTTACCTCTTAAATTCTATTGCAATGTTATCAGTAGAGTCAGGTACATCTTGGGTACGACTCAGTCAAAGAGAAGTGTATCAACACGAGAAGAATACCTCTCTGTCAAGTACAAAACATCATCCGAAAATTACCAATATTACTCAGTTCGACTCCTAAGAGTACCTCATTGAAAAATTACTGAGTCTATCTGTGTCTTCCATATTTATTTAATTAAAATATTAAGACCATCCATCTTGCTTTTTATTCTTCATGATTTGGAACCTGAGATCTATAATTAACAACTATGCATACATACAGATAATTGTATAGAGATTAAATCAATAAGTATAATACAGAATGTATGTTTATCTGTCCATAGTTGGTGGCCAGATACTTGTGTCGACTAGCCTCACCCAACGTTTCAACGGGTATGATCAAACATTAATATGTTTGTTTTCCTAGTGTAGACTACAGTGTGGAAGCCTCCGTTCCTTTCCGTGACTGTTACAGCTAGAAAAAAAAAACATTTTTATGCAGGTACCTGATGTCAGACGTCTGCAGCAGCTGAAGGAGACATTCGAGCAGATTTCTGTGTTGAGTTTCACGCACGAGATGGAGAATGATGGGAAGCTGCCTTTTCTAGATGTAACAGTCACGGAAAGGAACGGAAGCTTCCACACTGCATTCTACATTAAGTAAACAAAGATAGGAATGTGCCTCAATGCCAATAGTGACTGTCCAGACTGGTACAAGAGGAGTGTTGTCAACGCTTACGTCGACCAAGCTCTCAGCCACAGCTCAGGATGGAAGCAAGTCGATGAAGAACTCTGTAGGGTAAGGTAGGTCCTAGTCAACAAGGGCTTCTCTAACGGTTTTGTTGAAGACGTCAAAAAAAAAAGAAAGATGAATGCCATGCAACCTCCGAAGAGTCAACTAACACAACTCTTATACCCCTATTAGATTGTTTCACAGAATTTCTTTTCGACGGCTCATAAAACGGAGGAAAGAGTCCTGGAAAGACATTATTGATAGAAACGTTATCCTTATTGACAAAATTCAGAAAATACAATTGACAATTTACTACAAAAACAAAAAAACGGCCGACCTTCTCATGAAAAATTCCCCAGACACGAAACAGAACGTCTTGCAGGAAACCAATGTCGTCTGTGCCTTCAAGTGCCCGCTTGGGGACTGTAAGCCCCAAAGAACTCGATATATAGGCAAGACAACAACGTCTCTTTCTAGGCGGTTAACTATGCACAAACAATAGGGCTCCATCAAGGAACATATAATCTCTTCTCACAACCAGACCATCACCAGAGAAATCTTAACAAGCAACACTGAAATCATCAATAAATACATCGATAGCAGGAGACTCGACATCAGCGAGGCACTACATATCAAAAGGTCAACACTAGCAATCAACAGCCAATTAATGCACAAGTATATTCTACCCACTTCAAGACTCCGAACAAATATGCAAGCAGCAAGAGGAAGTATGGGCTAATAGGCCTCCTGCACTTCCATTCTTATGTTCTCATACACATTGTTTCGTGTTCTGTCTTCTTTTTCACCTCACCCAAAACTTTTGTTCCATATCACCTCACCCAAAACGAGTATAAGTATGAATGTATTTTGTTTGTAAACTAAGTCTTTGAAAATGTAATAAGGAATCACGAAACGCGTTCAGGCGTCAGACCAGGAATAAAAAGAATGAATTTTTGAGAGTAACTTTATTAATTACCCTCCACAGGGAAGAAGAACGTAAGAAATATTGAGAAGATTAATTTTAGAATTATTAATCTTACACTTTCGGTCATATTCAACAACATATGTTTACAAGAAAGACGGCTACCAAAATATTCTTATATATAGTGAAAAAGAGAGAGAGAGAGACAGAGAAGATATTGTCTATTTGATTCATTAAGTTAGGATGAAGGCGAGATGCTTTGAAGTAGCCTGTTTAAACCATACAAGATTAATTATTATTTTATTGAGAGAGTCTTGGAGACTTGGGTCGTCCCAGTGCCCAGATGAAGAGGAGCACGATACAATTAAATAGCAAGAAATTTAAGTAAATGTTCCGGAGATCAATAAATATTGATGCGTATTTGCAATATGAACCAAATCTGATTTTATTTTTTAAGTACTGGCGGGTAGTGCCAAAATTGTTGTGAGGGGTCTAGATGTGACTCTGAGATGCTGTTCTCATTTGAATTCTGGCGACACCGACCAGCCTATGTTCATCCCCTACCCTAGACAATTTGCTATGCTAATTTGAGGGAGGGTAGTTTCAAGCGTCTGTCATTGACCTACAAATTATTTTATCAAACTCCTCATCCTAATTATGGCTAGTTCCACATCCTAATTATTATAACTAGTTCAACATCATGATGATTATTATGAGGAGTTTCACACCTTGATTAATCTAATTAGTTCCAAATTTTCTTTATTTTAGCTAATTGCTCATCTTCATTTATACTTCTAGTTGACATCTTGATTAATATGTTTAATTTTATGTCTTCATTATTCCATGTTTTCGCGATTGGTATTCTTCATATTTCTGTCTAGTGGATTAATTTTTTAGTTCATTTAATTAAAGGATGAGTTACAAAACATTCAGTGTATGGAAATTTTTTAGTTTTATTTTAAATTATTAACATATATATATGACTTATTCAAATGTTATTTTGTTTAATTCTCTGTAAAATTGATGGAACGAATTATTACAACTATTTTCCATAACCACCATAGCCACCGCCGTATCCAACACCATTTCCAAAGCCGAGACCTAGACCATGTCCTCCGTAGCCACCACCATACCCGCCACCATGTCCCAGATTGAAGTTGATGGAAGCTCTTCCACCAGCGTAGCCACCACCATATCCACCCCCGTAGCCTCCATATCCAGCGCCGTAGCCTCCGTATCCACCACCAAATCCTCCTCCATATCCACCGCCGAATCCTCCCAATCCGCCTCTATATCCACCGCCATAACCAATGCCTCCGGGGGCAGCCATAGCAGAGGCAACCAGGGCTGCCAACCCCATGAAGAACAGTACGTATTTCTGCAAGAACAAAACAATGAATAATTAATAGATATATAAATTATATTGATAATAACCACAATTAGAGTACAAATATTATTGTGTTATTGCTAATGACAAAAATACTAACATATATAATAATTCCAACATAAGTACATATGTGAAGTGTCGTCATACAGTCAATACGGGACTAATCTGATATCGCAACATCGTCATTATAACTAAAAAGTTGAGTCTTCCCGATATTGACGTGACTCATTTTTAATTAGATTCGGCACTTCCTAGCCTAACCCAGAGCATCTTTTTACAGCTGAACATCTGTAGAAGTTATTCTCGAAGTTACATCTGTAGAAGTTATTCTCGACAGCTTTGTCTAAATATACGGCCCTCGTTCTGCTGTTCCCAGCTTTGAACATTGCATCTTTCTCTGCTAGTACCAGACGTGTGAAACTGACCATTGTGAGGGAGCGAGAGCAACACAGTGGCTGGTGTCAGGGAGGTGACTGATCTCTGCTCCACAGTTCCTCCCTTATATACGTACACACCCGCCTATAACCTTGGTAGTCCGCCATTGTCTTCATAGTCGATTAGAAAAAATTTGGTTTAGCGTTTGATATTATACAACATTTAATAATTTGTTTCAGTAGAATGTTTAATTAATGTTTGGGACTCAATTTAGTTTAAAGGTTATATATATGGTAAGAAGTTAGTTTCCTTTGTTTTTATATGTGAAAATATGATACATTTGTTTATTATTAAAAACTTGTTTTATATATCTACTTCTCAGTTAATTATTTATAATATATGAAAAATACTTTGTAATGTTATACTTGTCCCAGAATTATATATATATATTATAATGAAATGAGACTAACGTATTAAAAAATAAATAATTTCATGTTATTTTCTAACTTTCATACAAAAACAGATAGATTTATAAATCACAAGGCAAATCTTTATTGAGAACTTTCAACATATGCTCCGTCTGTATCCCCGCATATTTCGAATATAATTTTAACGTTCCGAAACACATTTTGTTCTGATGCTGTTCTTTTAAATGTGTTCACAAGTTCACATATCACTTTGTCTATAGGACGGATTTAATGAGATTTCCTAGTAAATATTTTATTTCATTATATCACAATCCTTTGATACGGGATGTCTCAAAAAAAAATTTGTGAAGTCATTATTTGGTTTAGGGATCTGAAAATGAGATGAAATAATTTAAACAATTTCATACTTATAAAATATTAAACGAGATAGCCGTCAATAAACAAGAGAATTTTGTAAATTAATCCGATTTCATAGAAATAGCTCATTCTGGGACACCTCTTTACTTCTCTAGAAAATGATTATATTAACAACATCAAACTAAAGAAAATTAAAGTTTTGTGTTTCATTTTATGTTAATTTGTTTCTTTAATCGAATAAACAACTACATAAGTAAAGCTAAATATTAAGAAAATATATGTACACATGCAATTCAGTTCTTCCTAAGACGTTACATCAAATAACTATACTCAGATAAACAAAAATAATTCTGTACAACTATTTTTACCTCTTAAATTCTCATGCAATGTTATTAGTAGTAGTAGTGAGTGAAGGACGTCTCGGTACGACTCGGTCATAGAGAAGTGTATCAACACGAGAAGAATACTTGTCAAACATTACCAAACACCATCTGAAAATTGTTAATATTACTCAGTTTGTCTCCTAAGAAAGCCTCATGGAAAATTTATCGATTGTATTTGTTTCTGCCAATTTTTTTTAATTAAAATATTAAGACCATCCATTTTGCTCCTCATAAGTCTTGACCTGGAACCTGAGATGCATAACTTACAACCCTGTATACATACAGATAAATGTACAGAGAATAAATTTATATCTATACGAGAGAATGTAAGTCTATCAATCTATGGCTGGAGGCCAGATACTTGTGACTAACTTTAACCATCTTTTCAGAGGGTATGATCTTGGGTACGGTACAAACAAAGGCTGATTCGGGTAGGCTTAAGTTAAATGTTTTACAAAAAATTAGCATTTATAGAGACCCGTCGAGATTTTCAAGAAAATAGGGGAAGACAAGGGGAACAGGGGATAGGGGAAGTGGAGAGGGATATGGGTGGAAGAGAGGGAATATTTATATATATATATATATATATATATATATATATATATATATATATATATATATATATATATATATATATATATATATATATATATATATATATATATATATATATATATATATACACAGTTAACTTGCTTAAACTCACAAGCCAAAGGTAACACAAAGAGCTCACTCTCCTGTGAACGGACTGGAACCTCTAAAAGCCAGGTGTTGCACACCTTGACATAACCAGTACTCTTTCTCTAAACCACGCAGGTCGTTAAAAGAGGTTGAATGTCGGGAGTATTTCCGCAACAAATCCTACCTCCCATCGAAACTAGTCATGGTATATATATATATATATATATATATATATATATATATATATATATATATATATATATATATTATAACTGAAAACTCCACACCCCAGAAGAATTCGAACCCAGACAGCCAATAGCACTGTGCATCTTGGCGCACCTGGTTCCTTAACCGCTTAACCACACTGACTGTACAAAAAGTGTTGGAAGTCGTGAGACTTATGAACCCAACATCCGACAGCTCTTGGTGGTTAACTTGAGGCATAGATATTTCATCTCCTCACCTCACTTGGTGGGCCCACTTGAACAACACAAATGCCAAAAAGCTTGAATGGTCCCCAAGCCAATTGGCAACTGAAAATACACCCCAGAAGGATTCGAACCAAGAGAGCAAGGAGCACTGAGCACCTTGGTGTACCTGTTTCCTTAACAAGGTCAAGATGAGACTCAGATACGCTGTTCCCTTTTGAATTCTGGTGACGCCGACCAGCCTATGTTCATCCCGTACCCCAGACCATTTGCTATGCTAATTTGGGGAAGTGTAGCCTCGAGCGTCTCTCATTGACCTACATATTATTTTTTCTAGCTCGACATCCTAATTATCGTTAGCTCCACATCCAGATTATTAAGGCTAGTTCAACATCATGATGATTATTATAAGGAGTTACACATCTTGATTAATCTAATTGGTTCCAAATCTTCCTTATTTTAGCTAATGCACATCCTGATTATTACTGCTAGTTCGACATCTTGGTTAATATGTTTAGTTTTATATCTTCATTATTCCAAGTTTTCACGATTTGTTTTCTTCATATTTCTGTATCTAGTGCATTAGTTTTTTATTTAACTTAATTAAAGGATGAGTTACAAAACATTCAATGTATGGGAAATTTTTATTTTATTTTAAGTTATTAAAAATATATGATGTATTCAAATTATAATGGATTTAATTCTCTGTAAATTTGATGACAGGAATTATTACAACTATTTTCCATAACCACCATAGCCACCGCCGTATCCTACACCACGTCCAAAGCCCAGACCTAGGCCATGTCCTCCCAAGCCACCACCATATCCGCCACCATGTCCCAGATTGAAGTTAATGGTAGCTCTTCCACCAGCGTAACCACCACCATGTCCACCACCGTAACCTCCATAACCACCACCATAGGCTCCATATCCACCGCCGAATCCTCCTAATCCACCACCGTAACCGCCAAATCCACCACCATATCCGCCATAGCCAATGCCGCCTGGAGCAGCCATGACAGCTGCAACCAGGACTGCCAACCACACGAAGAACAGCTCGTATTTCTGTAAGAAAATGTTTAGAATTTAATAATACATATTAGAACAGTTATGAATTTAACAATAAAAATTCCCTCATTATTAACAATAAGTTATTTATAATAAAAGTATTAACATATATATATATATATATATATATATATATATATATATATATATATATATATATATATATATATATATATATATATATATATATATATATACAACTTTAATATTAATAACGTTATTACATTAATAAAGATATGTAAATTTTGTATCAACTACAGAGTTTGATGCTGAATATCTGTCCATCTATCGTATCAAGAGACGTTTTAAAACACCAACATGAAGGTGAAAATGTTTATGAACTTGAACCAGTTGAATTTAGATTTGTGGCTGAAATAATCAGATAATAAATAAAAGTTTATCAATGATTCAGCGCTCACTATTGACTTGACTCTTGGGTTGAGGAATTGATTGAACGAAATAAATTCGTTTGCACTGTAAGTGCATCTCAGTGGTTCACATTTATTTTTATGGAAGGAAAATGGTATGTAAAGGTTTTGTTAATTTTTGCAGAGACATTTCAATCAGCTCAGAGTCCTGTCGTTGAGACGAAGGGAAGGGAAGTATCCAGAGAAAGCACTAAGCCATAACGACTACATAGCACTTGGAAGGGATCAGGATAGTGACCAGCGATGTTGTCTAGTCTTATGAATGTGATTGAAGGGTCGAACATTGCTTCCTCGTCCCTCCGCTTGAACATCTCGCAGTCCAGGGATCAATTTCCTCGCTATTCTTACCATATTTATATTAAAAATTGTGTTTTAATTACTTTCAACCACTTCATAGCCAAACCCAATACATTTACATATTAACTGTTGTTTGTCTTGATACTTTGTAACAGATAAGTACAGGAACAGACGACTGAGAGCTATCCCTGCTCGTCTCGGAAGCTAGACGCAGATATATAAGCATACTTAGCAAGAGAGTAAATATAAAAATGTTGTCGATTCCTTCTCATATTGGCATACAGGAACATGACAAAGTTGACGCCCTTGCTAAGGCTGCAGTAAATAAAGACAGCATTGAACGGAATCTTGAGTTATCAAATAGGTCCCTTAAAAGTGTCATTAAACGAGAACTCCTGGATGAATATGAAGAAGGTAGAACAGTGCAAACTGGAACTAGCAGGTCCATTGTTTATCACAATGAAATTTGTGAAGTTAAACATGTGTATGGGGCAAGTAACAAAGTCAGTAGACTAACAGATGTTGTCACTGCTCGAATAAGACTTCGCTGCAGGTATTTCTGGCAGTTCGGCTTGTATAGGGATGTAGATGAAGTAAAGTGTAACGTGTGTGGACAAAGACAGGAACACACACTCGAACACTATATCTTGGACTGTAGTAAAATTGAGTCATTTAGAGATAAATCTAAGCTCACGCTAAATGATATGGCAACCTATCTTATTACCAAGGATAAAATACCTGAAATCCTTGCACTGTGTCCATATTTCGCTTCCAGTAGATAAATGAGAAATGAAATTAAGAAATAAGTAGTGTATTGTGAAGACTAATAATAAACAGCAGCTCCCCTATGACTCTGTAATATATCCATTGGTCAAACTATTATGTATTAGCGATCAGACCTACCATTAATGTATAACGACTTACTGTAAATATATAGCTCTTGAAGTAGAACATTGTCTGTAACTAGCTGACATGTAACTATA